GAGTACCCTCTGATTTTGCGTACGCACTTATCGAATTTTTTTTTTTAATTTTTTTTTTTTACCACAGGGGTGCCACAAACGATTCGGACATGCCACTTACCATGAATATCTGCTTTTAAAAAAATGCACATAGACAATGATATTCTTTAACGAGGAAAAGTCATAATCATGTATTCATTAAACGGAAACGGATGCGGTTCAGATATTAGAAAAGCGGATACAAATATGTTTTGTGGATGCAAATTGGATATTTGGAAAACGAATCTGACTCGGACATGAATCGGATATGACAAAAAAATATCATGTTAATTGGATAAGAAATGTTATTAGTTAAGAAAGTTGTTTCTGACAGTAAAATACGAAAACTAGCTTAAGCAAACCTCAATAGCAAGAATTGCAATCAATTGATTACAAAAAAAAAATACAATACAAGAATCGAAATACAAAGTGCTACAAATTTTTCTTCTAGACCTCAATTTTATTATATCCATTGGTAAAATAAATAAATCAAAGTGTAGCATAACATAAATTTGACTATAAGTAAGTCTGAAATGTACAAGTGATTACCTTAATCAAAGCATGATCTAATAAACAAAAAACATACGACCGTGTGTCAAAGTATATGCGATTGTTATCAAGATAATAAAAATTTTAGTAATATTTATTGTAGGCATTAAAAAATACCAAGTTCCAAAATATGAGAAGGATGGTCAGGAAAACGAACTTCGTCTTAATTAGAGACGAGGCTTGTCGTTTAGTAAAGATCAACCTTGAGAACGAGAGTCGCCACGCAGCAAAACTCAACATCAAAAGACGAAGTTCATTATTGAATGGAACCGATCTTGAGACTTGAATCTCGTCGTTGGATACGAGGTTCGAGGTTCACTATTGGATACGGGGTTCAGAGCTCATCATTGGACACGAGGTTTGAATCTCATTACCAGGCATAGAGCTCATTAGTGAAGATGAGGCTCGTCAAAAGGGAACTTACAAGACTTGCTACGTAGTTGGATTCAGCTGTCAAAGACGAAGTTCGTTAGTGAAAACGAGGATCGTCAGACGAAGTCAGCAAAGACAAGAGTCGTCAGAAAAAGCTGGTTTACTGCAAAGTTCGCTTGGTAGGACAAACCTCGCTGCATATCGAGGCTCGTCTTACTTGACGAACTCCGTTTCAATTAAAAACGAGGTTCGTCATCCACGTGAGATCTAACTGTAACGGCTCCGAAGACTTAGTCAGCCACGTGGGCTAATCTTCGAGAGCACGTTACAGCGTGTGCTGATTTGGAGGAGGCAGTTACGCCCCTCTACCCACGATTATAGCACGTCAGTTACATGCTTAAACCTTATAAATAGCCATGGATGGCTACAGAGAAAGGGGTTAGAGATTTTAAACTTGGACTTCAATAAACATCAGAGATCAGAGTTTCTTTGCACGAATCCGGAGTTCGAACTTCGATTTTAGCCGGTCAACGAAGGTGAGAAGCTTTAGTGATCTTGGTCTGATCGTCAACGGGAAGCAATCTCGACTCAAGCATCGAGGGAAGCATCCTTTCGCTACCAGGAACCCACTTTAAATAAAGAGAAGCTGGATTAATCTTTTCTTCATCTGTAATCGAGAGAGAGCGTGAGTGATTGTAAGGATTTTGTACCAAACGATCGAACCTATTTCTTAAAATAAGAGAATCAATCCAACGTCAATTTTTCGACCCTACAGACGATGGCGACCACAGTGGGAGTAGCCATTCTTTCCGACGAGATGGTGGTGGCACAGTCAGACAAGATCATTGTGGGAACGGACATCGAGACTCTGGTCATCGAATTTGGCCAGTCCAAATATAAGGAGTATCTCTCCTCTGGTAAGTCTAGTCCCACAAAGGCACATAAGTGTTGTTGAGTCTCGTATGAGACTTCAGCCCAAGTGGATTCTGATGACTCAACTCGAGTCAACCTCGAGGAAAAGTCCATGCCCCTCAAAGAGGAGGCTCTAGTAACTAGCCGACGGACTAAGAAATGGGTTGTCACGCAACCTAGCCAAACTTCGGCTTCAACCAACCAAACTATGGCTTTTGATAACGAACCTCGCCCAGCTTCGACTGAGGTAAAAGTTCCTGTTGGTATGCTGTCGAGATGTGCTCGACAATGTCAGCACCAGAACCAAGCTTGCAGCAGGGATCGAGCTTTGGTCTCGTTAGACGGTTTTCACTATCGACCGAGAGCTGATCAGCCCAAGGTCAGCAAGTCTGACGAGGGTCAAGTGATTGAGGAATGACAAAATGATGGACCTCATCCTTGTACCCGAGTAGACTCAGAGCAGGAACCTCATCCTCAAAAAGAGGTTTAGCAAACTCAACAAGCGGTTCATACCGAGATTCATAAAGAAAACGAACCTCAAGTTAGGAACCGACTGAGAAGGCACATGCGCCAAGCTCGTCCTACCAATGAATCTTGTCACACGGAGGATGGAGTTTGCCAGCCTACCCAAGTTCGTCAACCTCTATCATTCAGAGGGTCTCGCTCGGGTAAAGCCAAGATGACGGAGGCAGCTAGGGGCTGTCCCGTTGGTGATCTTCGGGATTATCTCACACGCAAGTGCAGCATGAGTCAAATGCAATCTCATTACTGTTGTGAGAAGCTTATTTCTATAGTACTTGCCCAATGCTCATGTGGAGAGTCGGCACATAAATCGACAGTCTTCAAACGGTTGATTGAGCCTTCGACAATTTCTTCATCAAGAAGAAGACGCTTTTGCCCCAAGAAGCAAGCATCTAAGAATCGCCACATCGAAGTGACGATTAATATGGTCGGCAAGGGTAAAAGCAAAGTTTTGACTGATTCCTCAAAATCTTCTGATCCTGAATACTCTCCAGGATTAGGTAAAATGCTTGTTGAAGGACAAGGGGTGTTCCGACACACCCGTACTCATAAGGGTATAGCGGTTCCGTTCGATTACCGACGATTAGCGGGAATCACAGACGAGGCTGAGCAAGAACTTGAAAACTCAGTCATTGCTACTTCTCAGCCTTTCAATACAGACCAAAGTGAACAAGCAAGTGCTCACATGGTAGGAAATGAGGAAGAGCTATCGCGGCAGCTGGAAGATCAACAATCGACCATTAGTCAGCAACAGGAGTCCATCAGACGCTTGGAAGCGATGGTAGAGAGACTCCAGGAGGAGAAGGAAAAGAAGAAGAAGAATTTATTCCCAAGCCTCAGGATCTAGGCATAGAAGACCTTCACCTATTGATGAAGATAACAATGATGAAGACGATGAGGAGAAGGTTATGAAAATTCATTCTGAATCGTCCAAAGCTGAGTCCAATCCTCGTACGAAGGTACGAGACCAAAAGTGGGATGACTTCCAAAAGCAACTTGACGCATTGAAGCTCCAAGGAAACTTCAAAGAGTTGGGGGGTGGCAAGACCATATCCAAGTGAATGGGATACGATCCCGTATCCTCCGAAATTCAAACCGCTCAATTTAGTACAATTTGACGGTAAAGGTTCTCCTACCCAACATATTTATTACTTCTAGACGCAAACTGGACATATAGTGGGTAATGATCCTATTATGACTCGATTGTTTATTAGTACCCTAAAATGGGTAGCTTTTGAGTGGTTTTATAGACTTGAGCTAGGGTCAATACAAAGTTGGAGGGATTTGGAGAGGCTTTTTCTAGCCCGATTCTTCGACGATGACACTGAGGTGTCTATGGCCACGCTATTGGCTGAGAATCAGAAGAAGACGGAGTCTGTCGGTGGCTTCATCAAAAGATTCAAAAATCGATCGTTGCATTCACATGATCAAGTTTCTGAAACTACTCTTGTGAAGATGTGCTGCAACAATCTTTCTATCAACATCATATCCAAGATGGACGCTGTTGAAGCTCGTTCATGAAAAGATTTGGTTTGACAAAGAGAGCAGGTGGAAAACATGCTCAAGAGAATAAATACTGAAGAACCTCAAGAATCCCATCCTAAAAAGGGAGGAGGTAAAGGTAATTATAATTCCCAGAAACAATCAAAAGGGAAGGATACTCTAGCAGTTGAAACAAC